TTATAATTTGGTGTTAAATTCTATGCAGAAGATCCATGCAAACTTAAGGAAGAAATAACCAGGTATACTATTTCGTGTTGTTTAAATACTGGTGATATGCGTATGAGGCACTGATGTGAAATCATAATTAGTAAAATTAAGATTGTAATCACATATCTGCAGGTGCATGCTGCTGCTTTGGGTTTTTTATTTTGTTTTTTGCTCACATACCTGTGTGTGTAAGAAAACTGAAATGAAGCACATAATCAGCCTCTGGAACTCCTTGCCAGAGGATGTGGTGAAGGCTAGGACTTTAACAGGGCTCAAAGAGCAAGATAGCTTCATGTCAGGATGGGTAGGAATGGTATCCCTAGCCTCTGTTCTCTGGAGGTAGGTGACAGGGGAGGGATCACGTGAGGATTACTTGTTGAGTTCCCTCCCTCTGGAGCATCTGGTATTGGCAGACAGGATACTGGGCTCGATGGACTGTTGGTCTGACCAAGTATGGCTGTTCTTATGTTCATTGTTCAATACCATCCTCTGTTTGAAAGAATCAGATTAAACTGGCAGGTGTCAGAGTTTTATATGGATTGTTAAGAATTTTTCTTTTTTTAAGCAATGTATTGTCACATTTGGCTTTATAGTTGTGATGGATATGCTTTTAGAAAGAGGTTTTAGATTACCTCTCCCCATATTGTATATCCAAATACGTCTGTAGAAAATATGTGCTTTCCATTTAATTGGCCATAGCTTAAATTGCCAAACTATTTTTAAAGAGGTGTTTCTTCTTATCCCTTGAAAAATATGCAAAGATGTGGAAAAGTGAAATAACATTTGATTCATTTAAATAACAGTTCACACTTTACCCAGTGTAGAAGTATGCACACATAAACATACACACACAAGCTTATCTATTGTATAAAAGATCTCAGGCAGTTTATTTCTGATTTACAAAGACCTTTGGTATTCAAGTGACTACAGTAATTTAGGTGGATATAGTGCATTGACTTGCATGAAAATGTTCCTCTCTTCCTGTCCACATTTGTGCTCAAGTGGAACATGACATGGAAAACTTCATTGCAATATGCACACAAATTTTCACATCCTAGGCTGAGGTAGTAAATAGTGAAAAATAAGGAAAAATATTTTTCCTGTACTACTATAAACATTATTAAGAATGTTTTACCATATTTGCATTACTTTCCCCTCATAGTAACAGGCATTCCCAATTTAACAAGATTTATCTTGAACTAGGAATAACTAATCCTATGAAGACCCTATGCAGTGAAAAAGCACAAATTAGTTGCAGTGTAATGCCCCGTCTGCCCCGAAAGTTTGATATAGTTTTCCTGTACTTTTCCAGAACCACTTTCAACCCTGCTCACAGGGGGAAAAGATGGCCCTGGGAAGAGAACTCCAGCAACAGAGCCTGCTGTGATTACTACTCTGGAGGCAGGTTGGATTCATATCTATGAAATGACAATTGAGGGCTAATTTTTTCAAAAAGTGCATTAATTTTGCTTACATCAAGGTCAGTTAATGATTTGCACTGCTTATTACATTCAAAAATCTATGCAAAAAGCTTTTTGGCATGTACGGTGCATTTGTAGTGAGTCTCTGTTGTGTGTGCAATATGTTTGCTCACACAAATTTGTACTTTTTAAAAGTAAGAGGGGAGGCGGGCATAGGACAGTATTAAGCTTGTAATTTCAATCTTCAGTAGTACACATCCAAGAATCTGCATAATCAAGTGTCATCAAACTATTTGAGCCTTTATTGCTCTGGGCTCTTTACCTTAAACCTTGTAGGAAATAGATACATTTCCAAAAAGAATACTTATGCTAGAATCACATTCTACCTAGAAGCAAATAATGCAATTTTATTTTCTTTATTGTGATAATTTTCAAACATAGGTACGTGATTCCAGTGTTTTGCCACTGTTACCTATATTTATTTGTGGAATATGGATCACTGACTTTTCCCTTTTATGTACAGTTGTATGTACCCTATTGCTATCTTATGCTAATACTTCTGTTTCATTATACTATTCTGTTTTGAATAGTAAAACCCTATCAGATTAATAATCTCTCTAGACCAGAAATTGATGTGGTCTATAGATGCTGAATGGTTGTTACTAATCTCTCCTGGGTGTATTTGCTCAAGCAATGTTTAGACACTGTTATCTATGCATAAACAATTTAGCAGACCATATGGTGAGTAGTTGAGATACAAGTTAGGACTAGTGGCCTGATCTTGAAAAGAACTAAGTACTGCTATTGTTCACTGACTTCAGTGGGAGTTAGGAGCATCATCACTTCATAGGAGGCAGAGGTGCTAATGATGGCAAATTGTGGGTTTTTAAAAAAAACTATTTCTCTCTCAAACCCACATACGTATACATATAAGGACACTAAGATGCAACCTCCAGTTTTTCCTTTTGTATTAGTTTATATCTCAGTAATTATTCAAAATATATTATTTTTTCCATCACACTAGCTTTGCATCTGAACAAAATAATTGGTATTTATTGCCCCCCTACTTTTAGACCTACATTTCTTTTTATAGAGAATATGATGTCTAGTTTTAAATAATTTTTCTCTGATGATATGTTACCATACATTGTCAGATCTAGTTCCAAAATCTATCACCTTTGTAAATACTGTCCCCAGACTGAATGGTATCTATCATATGCTGGCAATAACATGCAGTGTTAAATTGTATGTATATTATACTGTATGTAGAGCCAGGGAGTTAACATTTTGAAGTGAAGGATGGAGGCAAATCAATGGTGCCAACATGTACTTAAATATGAGTGTTTTTATGCTAACATTGAGGATAGAGATGTATGAAGAAAATGTGAGGTAGTTAAAATTATGCTTTTCAGAACTCAGGGTCTGAAAATATCCATATCCTGGCAAGCTGTAGAATCTAGACACTGGTTGTGCAGCAAGCTACACATTCAGTCTTGTACAACTTCTGGAAATGCTGAGAGGAGGAGATGTATATTGGAAGTGAACTTCATCTCCAGTATGTCAGCCAAGAGATATGTTGTGAGCTCCGAGACATTTTACATTTCTCCTCCATAATTCATCCAAATAAGAGTCTGCCTGCTAGTTAGAATGCTAAGGCGCAACCATGAGCTTGCTCACTGTTCCCTGTTACCGTTGCAGTGAGTCTTCTCATGATATAAGGCATTTGGCTCTGGGAAGGAGAAGCTGTGTTTTTTCGTGGATGGACAGCACTGTTGAAATAGGGTGCAAATGGCATAGCTGTATATCCTGGAATGCCAGTGGTGTTTGTGGGGATTATCAGCAAAAGAAGCTCATTGCGGCTGGATGGATCCCAAATTAAATAGTACTGAAATGTTGTTCAATACGGCCACTTTTTATTTGAGCTTAACAAAGTAATGCAAAGACTATTTGCCATGTAATTTGCAATTTCTAGATTGCCCCTAGACAAACATATTTCATTAATTTGCTATGAACACACAGAAAGTACCAAATATTTACAAAAAGAATAATAAGGCAATAATAAATACAACATAAATTTAGCAACACCGTATAATGCAGTTATTTGGCTGTGTAAAATAAATGAGTTCCTGAATAAGGGAAGTTTGGTTTATACATATGACCATTTGTGCTTGTATAAAAAGTTCTTTTAACAGTTGTTCTTGTAAGAACTCTCTCATATTCTTTCAGTATGATGTGATATGGAATGATGTATATCTGGTTTGTATAAATCACATTTAAAAATATTTCCTTTAAATGAATTAGAGTATCTGAAAAAACAAAGTAGATAACTTATTTTCTTACTTGCTGTTACTTTTATCCTCTCTTTTGTTCTTGTTGTTTCACAAGGAATTCAGTATTCATATCCTAAACAGGGCCCAAGGTATCAAATACTCTCATTTAATTTATACCTACCTGTGTGAGCAGTTTATCATATGTATACTTGATGTGTGCAGTTGTGATTAAGGAAGTTGTATACAATATATTTTGTGACTCTAGGGCAATATCAAAGTTTAAAAGGACGCATCTTAAAATTATGTCAATTTAAAAATATTCTTAAAAGTTGTTTCTATTACTGCCCTTCCCCCCGACTCTTGTTCATTTTGTGCTCAGTTTTGGCTTTACCATGGGTCCTGTGAGGGAAAGTACATTGTGCTGCCCTGCAGGCAAATTTGGAAGCAGATTGACAGTCACAATCTACCTTCCTGGTTTGCTCCTGCCCTGGTGGGGAAGTACTGTGTATTAACACAGTTATGTAATCCATCTGGTTGGAGCATTAGGAGACAGCCATGCCTTACTTCTTGCCCGCCTGCAAGTAGAGGAAGGGGATATAGTGACCTGGTGGTGTCTGCTTTTCCTCCCATGCTTGGTAGCTGTGGTATGTATAGTCCTGTCAACGCCTTTTGGGCTTTTCCTGACTTACCCTCCTTTGCTTGCTCTTGGGCCCTCTCCTTCAGTTGAGTCTGTCAGACCTTCACTTCTTGACCTTGCCATCTCATTCACTCTCCTGGCTGTTTTCTTGGAGGCAGCCTGGAGCAAAGCTGTCACCACCTTGCTGTTGCAGGCCTTAGCACCTCCCTTTCCTTCTCTCTGCACTCTTCCTCTTACAGCAGGCTCTGTTTCCTTTATTGGTTATGGCTGTGAATGTCTGACTCTGTGACTTGCAGCTGCTTGGGGTTGTGATCAAGCTGCTTGCTGGTCAGTGGGAGAGACTAACCTCCTCACTCTGTCTGTGATAGGTATGGGGTTTATAGACCCCATTACAAGCCCACACCAGACAGTGAGGGAGTATCTTCTGGTTGTGCCCTGTCTCTCCTTTGTTCTGCTCCATTAGTTAACAATTTGTCCCTTGCTTGGATTTACAATAATAATTTCCTGTTTGATTTTAAAATGTTTTTTCTCTCCTACCTGAAAATCCCACACTCCTCTTTCTAGGGAAATTAGTGAACCACAATGTGCTATCAAATGCACAAAGTAAACAAATTAGAAAACTATAGAGTTTTTTTCCTCCTCCAAGATTTCAGTGATGATAATCGTAGATGTTACTTGAACATTAATAATAAAAAATTGCAGAAGATGCAAATGTGATTTTTGAGTTGACCATGTCACTTTAAGTTAAGCTAGAGGCCTTAAAAAAAACCAAAACCCTGAAAGCAGAATCCTTAATGTTGAATTAACAACTTCGTTTTCTCTCTCTGTTTCAGATATCAATTTTTTTTGCAGGTAAAGCAAGATGTTTTACAAGGTCGCATGCCCTGTCCCATCAACATTGCAGCTCAGCTGGGTGCATATGCAATTCAGTGTGAGTTCTTCTATTGAACCGATAACTTGTTTATTTTGATATTATGATTTATTCCAGGTACTGCCAGTAAATAGAGACTTTAATCTAAGTGTTTGTAAATTAGTTTAGAAAATTAAATTGCAATCACTAACAGGAAAATTATAAATAGATGACACTTCAGGACAGATTATATAGAACCAATTTCATGCATTTTAAATGACAATACTATGGACTCTCTTCTGAAATGTCTGACAGTTATTGATGGTTGAGTTACTGAGAGTGTCCACAAGAGAATTTTCAATTAGTGCTTGAAAATATTATGTCAGGGTATCTCTACAACTCAATATTATTTATAGCATATCTTCTATTTTATCAAACAATATGTAGATATGAAGGGCTGGCAGCAGTCTCCACACAAACCCGTTGATCATCCAAATGATGCAGTCCTGCAAAAAGCCACAGTATGTCAATTAAAGAGAATGAAGAGGACAGATATGTTTAGACTTGAAGCATAAAAATCCTACATTTTCACTTATTGGCATGCACATGAGAAGCCTATTTTATGAGTGGTAGTATATCCCATAGATCTGCTAGAGCAAGCATTGACTACTTGACATTACACTGTAACCTCTGTACTCTGGGTGTCCCGAATTCAGGAACACCCATGGTATGGACCCTGGCAGGGGGTCTGTGCTGCTACTCCCCTCCCTCTCAGCTGGGGTTCTGACAGCGCAGTGATGCACTCTGCTGTAGGCTTTTCTCTGCTCCTCTCATAGTGATGGGTTTGTGTGTGTCTTGGAGTAGTGGGGACGTGGAGTGCTAGGTAAGGGTCCCATGCCCACCCTCCTCATGCCCTCATGTTTCCCAGGGTTGCTGGATTAAAGAGGTTCAAGAGTAATTGAAAGTAAGAAAAAAATAAGAGTTTGCTCATTAGATATCCAAATGTAAAATTTGTCTGTCAGGGATATCATATGGATTTATGATATTTTCCTTGGGAACTTTGCATAGAAAACTCATAATTTAGGGGAAGGGAATTCTTTTATATCTGCTGGTCAGAACAAGCATTTGTTTTGGAGACAAGACTAATACATAAAAAAATAAAATCCCAAAACAAAACAAAAATGATCTGATATTTTATGAGATTTTTTCATTATGATTTATGGCACTGACATCATGGCATATGAAGAGGCATAGTAGTGTCCATGGCTTCAGTGGATTTGTCTGGGAACCTCCAATAAGGCTGGCCATCTGAGGAGTCTGTCTCATTGAGGGTCTAATGGTACTGCATTTACACATGTTAAGTAGCACTTACAAAAAGCCCCATTAATTTCAGAGGGGTTACTCACTGAGGGTATGTCTACACTACAGACGTTAGTTTGAATTAACTTTGATGGGCGCTACACTAGCGCTCCGCTAGTTCGAACTTAATTCAAACTAGCGGAGCGCTTAGTTTGAACTAGGTAAACCTCATTCTACGAGGACCAAGCCTAGTTCGAACTTACTAGTTCGAATTAAGGGGTGTGTAGCCCCTTAATTCGAACTAGTGGGAGGATAGCCCTCCCCAGGTTTCCCTGGTGGCCACTCTGGCCAACACCAGGGAAACTCTATTGCCCACCTCCCGGCCCCGGACCCCTTAAAGGGGCATGGGCTGGCTACGGTGTCCGTGCCAGGTGCAAGCCTGCCAGCACCCAGCCAGCAGACCCTGCACCTGGCACGGCACAAACCAGCCACCCGCTGCCACCCAGCCCTCCGCCTCTTCCCGGGACCAGGCTGGTGGCTCCCAGGAGCCTGCCCTGGTCCCCAAGAGGCAGGTGCCCACCTGGTCTAGTGCAAAGATCGTGGACCTCATCCACGACCTCCGCACTAGGCACAGGAAAGTGGCTGTCTAGGGCAGGATAGCTGCC